GTTTGAAGAGGTGAGAGGAAGGGCTTTGTAAGTTGGCCTCACTGAAAGCTGTAGGGGATTGTCCCGAAGCTGTATTTGTCGAGTTGTGCGAATATGTCATCGGTACATCGTCAGAACAGGATACCACGCCTTACGATAATTCTCCAAAGCATGAAGACAAGAAAGTTGGCCAGCTACAACCATACCTACATTGTATGGTCTAGCTAGATCCACTTAGTTAGACATCTCATTATTTGGTTGCTTTTCCAAAGCTTGCTTTTTTTACATGCGGAAGAATCGTGAAATGTATGGAATTGTGAAATTCAATGGAAAAGTCAGATAAACTCATATCATTGTACCTTCCCTAAAATACTTATATTGTTGGTTCTTCAATGTTGGCGCATGTGATTGCGTTCTATTGCAAGTGTGTTTTGTGCATGCGATGCTCGTGAGACGCGTGGGGTTTGAGAGTGAAAACAAGATTTGATCACTGTCGGATACTCTTAGTTCGGACGACTGCTTTAAGTTGGAAACAACGGCTGATGAGTTATATGATACAATTTTGATTAGTTTATGACAAAACATTATAAAATGCTTAAGCATTAGTGAAAGGAATTGAGACTAGTAGTTATCTGGAGAAGTTTAAAGTAGATCTGAGTGAGCGAAGTATAGTAGGAGGAACAGTGGTAAACCTAACCAAAACAGCAATTAACATTACCACTCAGGATGTTTTTCCAAATGCTTGAGCTTTTGAGTTGTCAAACGGTAAGGATAGCAAAGAAGAAATATTAGTAGAACTCATAAGTTTAACCGGCCAATGTCAGAAGAGATTAGGAGTGGTATCGAGTCGCAGGTAGTCTCCTGAATTGATGCCCATAGGAGGCTAAACAACATAATAAAAAATGAAGAGAATAGCAACAAATAGTGTTAAGAGCAGACAAGGGAGGAGCAATGGTAATCATGGGCAAGGTTAATTATGTAGGAAAGATGATGCAGGCACTAGATGCTAAATTAACGTACACGATTATCAATAAGGATCCTACGGAGGTCCTGCAGTCTAGTCTCAGGGTTTGCCGGCAACATTGTGCAGCAAACGTGTTCTTAGAAAGCGGATAATGAACACATTTCTGCAACGAGATGCCAGGCTCCAGAATGCGTATGGTTTGCCCAAGATACACAAGAAAGTAGCCCTGCTATGAATTATCGTTAATACTAAGGGCCGGGTGATGCATAGAAATTTCATGATATATCTGTCAAATAATAAAGCAAATCTCCGAGGCATGGTAGTTTTTACTGAGGAATTCTTACAATTTCGTTCAGATAGTCAATGAAGAGAGGATAGAAGGTAGAGATTTGCTTGTCAATTTTGGCATAAAGTTAGGATTCATCAGCATTCCTGTCAGTGGAGCTGTTCTGGCTCTAGAGTTAACTTCATATCAACACCCGAATATTCTGAGAATTACAAATGTAGGCAATGAGTCAATGGTGATACTGACGAATTTAGTGACGAACTGTGCATACCTTAAACGTAGATACGAAGACCGAGATGTTGTGGCCTCTATTTTGGTATCAGTCTCCTTCCGATGTATACCAGCTGCTCGAACTTGTTTTCGCAACTTGGTCCTATTGGCAGGAAGACCTGAAGGAAGACACCTTGACCGGAGTCCATAGTATGCATGATCATTTCCAGAGTCGGACCGCGGACTTGGTACATTCACAGACGTTACGCCGGCATCCGCAAACAAGCTACAACTCGTCAAAGAGACAAGTGAACTCAACCGCTTGACCAACTTTCTGTTGAGACGGTTATGCCATCAATCCTCGTTTTGTCCTGGTCCCTCTATCAATTTCCTACCCTCTAGTCTCGCTCTCGTCCTATCACAACTTTTGACATGTTTATATCCCACAAGAGATGTGCCCTTTTGGCGAATTTACCGTTTGTCTTGCTCCCCTCCCTTTCGAGTGGCTGATCCTGCTCTAGTCTCCTGTCCGGATCTGCCTCATGGGTGCTTGGATCCGTTTCTTAACTTTCTGGTTGACTGATTTCACTCGGTTACAGCCCCAGCGTACTTGTACTTCAGGTGCTATTTCTCAAGCCTTCAGTAGCACGTACAAAGTCGCCTCATTTGCCGAGTACCTAGACTATGATTCCCATGCTTGCGGATATTAGGCATTACCTTCACGCATCATCTCCTCGATTTAGCCCATGCACATTGAGCAAATTGTGGACAACCATCTCTGTTTGTCTGCTGCATCTCAAGTGGATTATTAGTCAACTTGGTCATTTGGCCCGATTTCTCTGACCCAAACTTTCTCCCTAGAATCGTGAAACATCAGGCGATTGTTCATTCGAGCTGACTACCCTCATTGAGAACGTCTTCGTTTCAGTTCCGAAACCTCCTCGCCCTATTCGTCCTTGCGATCCCTTTTCCTCTGGTTTACGATATATCCTTGATCCGGGCGCCTCCTTTTGGCTTGTCTTGTATCCTTGTTTTCTTCGAGTTTGATTAGGCAATCGGCAAAGTTATCGCTAACTCTACCTTCCTTCAATCTTCTGTTCATTATATTTTTTTCCTCAAGGATGTCAGTTGCCTCCCTAATCTTCCGTTTCTTTGTGCTTTCAAAGTATGAAGCCCTTCTTCCTGTTTCCTTCCAATTGATCTCATGTCCAGTCTCTGCGATGTGTTCCGCTATACCAGATCCTCAAATATCCATTTTCCTTAAGAGCCTTTGATGTTCCTTGATTCTTATGCCGATTTTCCCCCCACTTTCTTATCAACTTTCTTCGAGTGTTCTTTTTGCCTTCGTGCTCACCTGAATATTCCATTTTATTAATATTGGCCGTAGTTTTTGAGCTAATTCACAGGAAGGGAGACATATCCACTTTTGTGAGACTTTCTCCATCTTTATCTTTATTTCATAATCCCCGTCCGCCGGCTCTTCACGGCCAGTATGTTTCCTTGAATTACTTCTCTCGGATATCCATTACCGGGGCATATCCAAGTCATTTTTTTCAATTCTTTATCCCAGAATTCCACGCCTGTTAATCGTAGGCTTCTGATAATCATGCTACTCAGTATGTCTATCTTCATGCTATAGTTGTGATGAGATTCGAATTTGAGCATTATTCCGGCAAATGAGTTATTTTAGAACAATTTCCTCTTGAGTGCCCGAGTAGAGCGAATGACTTCCACATCTAAGAAAGCCAAGCGCCCCTCTTACTCAACATCCATTGTGAACTTAATGCTTTCACCAATCCGGTTCATAAGCTTCAAGAAATCCTCCCATTTTTTCTTCCATGCGACCATATTGCAACGTAGTCATCCAGGTACCGCATAATAACTCTTGGTTGCAGCGGTGGCGTGTTGAAATTCTTTTCTAATTTGTTAATGTATACATTTGTCAATATAAGTGATATATATGCTCATGATCACAATACGAGCAATATTTTTATTGCCCACATATTGATTTTCAAATGCAAAATAACGATGTAGCTTATTTGCTGGTAGCGAGGCAAGCTTATAGACTTAGATTCATTGGGTTAAACTATTTAAAAACGCTTGTATTTTCGCAGGGAAACGCTGGGACGACAAAATGCATTGTACAGGCTCCAGAAAGTCGCGCTTCATCTCGATTCTTTGGATGCTAGGCAGACTCCGGTGAGAAAAGTATAAAATTTCAATTTTTTCTTGTCTTAAATGAAAATATGTGCAAACTAGGCTAAGGCTTAAACGAATTACGAAGTACGTATTTTACTCTTTTATATGCAATTATGTTAACAAACAAGTTTCCCTGAAATAACGTGTAAATTGGGACATTATGGTTAAGATGATACCCTGAAGAGAAGAAAGGACTTCCTTTTTACGATCTACTTATCCTTCAAAGAGACTGAAATTTTTACCTGGAACATGTCTTACCAGTCAGGTCTCGGAGACTGGCAGAAGTTTGTACCAGAAAACAAGTCCTTTTTGGGGTATCTTTGAAGGCTACGTATGAATGTCAAATCGAGTCAGGCAACACCAGATATGAAAAAAATGGGTTTCGAAGAATTCCTTGATAAAATATTGTGGCATGAGCCTCCATTTCGAAGGGAAAGTTGGTTGAAGAGAATTCGTGATGTGGTCTCAGCGGAAACCGAGTGATAAAATACTCTAAACGAAGAAACAACTAAATAAAGAGTTAATTTCTTTTTAAACATTGTTCTAACCCTCATTCTAGATTAGGCTGTTACAAGGTTTTGCGCTCATGTGGGGCAGACATGACGACCCATTCACAAGAGACTGTGCAAACACAAAACCGCTTATAAAGGTTTGCGGGTCCAAAAGTCTGAGCTCACTGAGCACATGGCCAATAGAGGACACTCAATAGACTGGTCAAAAACACAACATTTTGCGGATTACGAGGAATTCACATCAAAGCGTACGATTAAGGAGTCTCTAGAAATTAACGAAACAGTCAACGTCCTGAGTAGGAGGAACCAATGGAGAAATCTGAGTAGGAACTATTTGTGGCTGTTGGATAGGCTTAAGGAGAGGGAGAGAGTTTTAGGTGTGTAAAGAAAGCGACTAGGGTTGCAACCGGCCACCTTTTCTCTTGGTTTAGTATGCTTTATTTGGTGAAGTGTGGATTTTTGCTTTGATGGTGTCTGTCAAGGTGGTACAGACGATAGCTTAGCACAAGTTCATCGGTGTCGTAGAACGGGGAGCCGAGGACTTCTTCGCACAATAAAGCAGCTTTCCCTATGCAGCAATCCTCCTTCGGTTTCCGGTGATACCACATCACGAATTCTTTCCAACCAAGATAAAATCTTAGGTATTGTTATTGTAATATAAAACAGTTTTTATTTTCTGACAAAATTCATACTCAAGTTTTAACGGTAACTGTTACCTTTCACTCAATTCCACGTAGGATATTAATCTATACATGCTATATTTTATGGAAGAAGCCATTTAAAATGCATGAAGTCATTACACTTTTAAAGCACTTAATCATTTCTCTTTGTATTCACTAGCCACCCTTCAATGGTATCCCATGCAGAACGGATATAGAAAAATACGAATTAGGGCTGGATGACGACGATACCGAGGTAAATAGTCATTATATGCGAATGAAAAACTTAAATGATATTTCAACATTCCAGGAATGGAAATTTTAGATATCAATTAAATATTTAATTGTAATCCTAGGATAACTGTGCTTTTCGTTGAGGGTATAGTATCGTAGAACGTACATCTTTTTTTTGTCAGAGACGACATTTATTTCGGCTCTGTCAAGAAATTGTTTATTTTGTATGTCTCAGCAAACTCTCGCTAGGCGTATAATCAAGTTGTGGAGCTCATGAAAAATATATATTGTGTATACTTCTTTGATGAGGGCGGTTCCGAGCAAAAAGTAATCAGCTGCTAGGTGCTGTCTACCCTTGGCGTTTTCAACACTAGACTTGCAATGATAAAGTCGAGTCACAAAATCTCTTTCAACTAACTCGAATAGACATTTAATATGCTAGTGATATGTTTAGATTTTAGCTTAATTTTGTTAGTGACATAAATCTCTACTTAGAATTAAACATTGATATGCATTTTTTGCCTTCTTAGTATCTTTGTCTAAGAACTGGTTTGACCTCGTTCTCGCAAATCGACCCAATGTCACGATGAACTAGATGATCAAATCTTATCCGAAGTCATCTGCAGTAGTAGTTATAATAATTTTCAGCGTCGAAATGGGCACAATTTAACGTGTCATGGGGCAGTAATCGCTGATTTTTATTTGAAGGGCTCAAAATTAAAGGGTATTTAATGTCAACATAGCCATGTAAAAACTAACAAGGAATTTTTTAAATAAGGAAGATGAGCTGCTAGTCGGTGTACACACGAAGACCATACGATACTACCTGCCTTTATAGGAGGCAGTACAGCTATAAATATTTCTGAATCTGGATTCGAATCCCACATTGAGTGATGAAACTGAAATATATTCTGAATTGAAACCACTTCTTGTATCAAATTTATTAGCAACTTTTCTTGCATATTTAGCAATTTGGCTGATTTCCTTGCCGTCTGCAAGTCTAAAACATAAATATAAAAGATGAATACCATGATAATGTGGCTCCTACATAGTTGTGGTCTCTGTTGTACCTGGTTTCAACAACTTAAGTACCCTTTCCGGAATGTTTTACGATAGTTGCTATGAAAATTTCTGGCTTCGGAATGTGAGCATGAGGATGTGCCAAGTTTGGCTCTATCAACTCAAAATAAGTGACAATTGCTTTGCAACTCTCTAAGCCTTAGCTCAGTAACAAGCTCAGTGGCTTTAATAAGAATGAAAATAATGATACTAATAATAATTTTTGTAGCTGGTGTAATACAAAAGAAAAATATAGACAGTAGCTATAGCGAGAATAACACCCCTAATAAACGAAAATTTTTTAATGTATTCTTTTTTCTAAGGCTTCAATATATTTTTTTATGACAATTTCGTTGTTTACTTATATACTACTGCCGCTACTTGCAGAAATGGCAGTTTGTTGTGCTACCTAATGACTAATTTGCAAATAATGCATATTATTTAGTTCTATATATTCTGAATAATTAGACATATCTTGACTGTCTATTTTAAGTTACTTATCGATATTTGCTTATTATATTCCCTTTCATTCACATTTCACCATGCAATCAGAATTGTCAGGTCAGGTGGATTTCCGAGCGACTGACGTGTCTTTTTGTAGAGCGCTCCCAGCTTTCTACGGAGGTGGAAGCCTTGCGAGACAAGCTGAGTCAAGCGGAGACTTTGCAGACGACACAGGCTAAAGAGACCGCAAATGAGCACGTGAACGATCTGTGCAAACAGCTGTCTGCCCACAAGACAATGCTGGAGCACCTTCAAACACAGGTTCATTTTACAGAAATTATAATGGCACAGATACATGTCTTTTGAGGTGAACAGCGAGGCAATGTTACGTGGTTTTGCCAGGATTTAGGATAAGCATTAGTGTAGTTTCATTCGTTTTATGTTAAAATTCCCGAGGCTTTACTCTCTTTTAGTATTTCCATTAAATTTATGTTAACAAAATCAACAATTGGTGATCTCTCCGTTTTAGAGAAGAAAGCTTACGTTAATAAAGCGAAATTAAGTGAATGAATAAATAAATATATAGTATGTATATATATATAAAATAAAGATTGGCTAATTAATAACTATATATGAAGATGATTATATAAATGTATGTATAGGTGATGTATAGTTAGATGTGTAAAGACATACATATATATATGTGTATGTATATAATATAATGATTTTGATGAATCTCCTTAGTGTCAATCTAGGTACTTGCATGTTTTAGTGCGTTTACTTGTTCGTTCAACTCATGTGTTTATAGTATGAAAATTGTAGATTAGTTAAATGTCAAGCTTGCGCTCGCTATTTCAAGTACTGTATGCATAATGAGTAGATGAATATACTCACGTTCTTGTTTAAGATTTGATAGTATCGCAACATGTTCACTACATGTGCAATTATCACTAGGTCGAGTACCTTGGGCTTGTTGTTTATCTTCGCGAAGACTTGAAGGGAGTTTATATTCAGTTAGAGTATACTTCAAAATATCAGTAAATCGTTTAAGATGGCTTAGGGAGTGATAGTGCAAAAATGTCCTTGGATGAGACAACCATTTTGGAGGAAAGACGAAGTGGTTTTTTGTGGCATCATGTTGCCCATTGGTCTACTTGTGTAAAAAATCTACTACAAGTCTTTACAGCCTCTTAGGCAACCTAGACCGACTAGGTTTTCATTAAAGGGAGTTTGTAAACGAGCCATAGTAGCTGGGCTAATTCCCGTGGAGATAATGAGTATCCGGAATCAAACGTTCTTCACTTAGAACACATTTACCCGTTTCCAAGTTGCACAGCTGTGATGCCCTACAGAGCAGGATAATCATCAAGTGATTATCAATGCCATAAAAACAGTTTTAGGTTATAATGAAGATTTTTTGCTCTTATTTTCAGTTAGAGAATTGCAATAACGATCTTCGTGCAGCACATCAAGATGCTGAAGAGAAGGAATTGTGAGTTTGTAACTGAAGGTTTGAACTAATGCCTCATTAGTTTTTGTTTATTTTTGCCAATCTTAAGGAAGTACATAGCAGAAAAGTATTTTCCAATGTTAGCAGCTAACAACAATAAATCTCTGAGGCTTCTTGACCTCTGACTTCGGTTGAGCACCATAGACGCAGATTTATTGACTCTGCTAGAGCTCTACATCCCAAGAGGAGAGTAGACTATGAAGGAGAAGCCTGAGATTCCATGGGCTTCTATCGGTTATTAGATCGTAGCTTTTCACTATGACAGAAGACTAAGAAACCTTTGCTTTTTGGTACCGGCTTTGGAATATTTCTCCATTAATGTGGGCAGATTTGGTTTATCGACTCTTTCTTATTCTCAAAGAGGCCTTTCCCGCCTTGTTAAAGCTGTTTAACACTGCTTTGGAAGTTTAGACGAGTTGTATTCACTTCCATCTATGTACAGATATAAAGCTGTTACAGTGACATTCATTCCTTATTAAAAGATCGGAAGAATAAATTCCTGGGCGAAGTCAAGTCTTTTTAGTATGCATTTTCAGTAGCTTTATATACTATCTGTAGATCTTGAATAAAAATTTTGTTCACCAGAATTCGCCTGAATTAGCGAAGTTGTGTTAAATTCAACCGTAAAAAATCATTAAACCTTGTGCCTTAAAAATAAGAAAATACTTATCCAAATTTATTATATTATATTCTAGACTAACTAAATCCATTCTGGTATATTATACTCATTTCTATCAGATTATGTTCTATATTATTCTATTCAATTTAATTGTATCGCATTCTTTTCCATTCTAGTCTAATTTATTCTGTTCTATTACATTAAATTTAATTTTGTTCAATTGTATTCAATTGTATTTAATTTCATTGTATCATATTCTATACTGTTTGGTTCAATTCCATCCCATACTTTTTTATTTTATCCCATTCAATCCACGTCTATCTATTTCATTAAAATTATAACCGTTTATAATCTATTTTGATACTTTCATATCAATTTTAATATTTTCTACACTGGTTTTACGTATTTATGATATCTATAAATTTACACTATTTTACTATCTTCTTTTTTATTCTATTCATTTATTTTCTATTTTAATATATTATCTTATTATTATTAGTAGTAAATATTAGTTATTCTATGTTAGTCTAGTATATTCTAAAATATTCCAGTACAATTCAGTGTATATTTTGCAAATTATTTTCTGGTATAATCTATTTTAGTTCATGCTCACTTTTCTACTAGATTGTAA